AAAAATTGAGCAAACAAATGTCTCAAATTTACCATGGGTTATTACGTCGAGTCATCCAACACAGTCTAAATTCATTGAAGCAGCAGCAAAAAATTAGGCCCCTCTTTCAAAATAAGGCGCCTCTCCGGCCAATCAGGGCATCAAAAGTACAAGAAAGACATCAAGTGGATCTTGTAAGCATGGTTAGCATGCTAGACGGTGATACTTATAAATACATAATGTCTGTTATTGACATTTTCAGTAGATTTCTTTTCTTACGTCCTCTTCAAACAAAAGAGACTCGTGAAGTGGCGGAACATCTTTAGACATTTACTTCGAACACGGCCCTCCAGAAATTTTGCAAGGCGATCAAGGTCCAGAATTTAAGGGAGTAGTAAAGACTGTTTGCGAAACGCTACATGTTCGCAAAATTAAAAGCTCCGCATACAGTCTCCAGACCCAAGGAAAAGACGAGCGCTCACACAGAACGTGGAAGGAAAAAATAAAGGTTGATTTAATTAACAACAACAACAATGGCCATCTCATCTGGGTGGAGTCTCTACAACAGTACCAGCAACTCTACAATGAATCACCACAGCTTTCTCCATTTGAAGTGTACTTCGGTAGAAAGCCCAATAGGTATCGCAATAAACTGTTTCTTGTGGGAAAGAAGGAATATGAAGTTCCAGATGAAAACAGCAACGGTATCGAAATAGATGAATGCAAGACGGAAGAACCAACAGAGCTAGTAACAGAACGCAATTCTATCATGCAGAAAGCTTTGGATGCGTCTAATAAGGCTTCGCAGAATATGGTAAAGCGGGAGTTATGGCGAAATCCACCCTCACTCTATTACAAGGGAGAAACCGTTTTGATTCGAGTCCCTGTCTCAAAGAAATTAGTGAAGGGAAAGAAAAACTCGCTAAAGAACACCTGTGAAGGGGTGATCCTTGAGGCTAATCATTCCATGCACAAGTACTTTATCAGCTACAATGATCCCGTGACACTTGAGAGCGAAACGAGGTGGTTTAAATTAGATGATGTTACCTCAGTAACAAAAGAAGAAGTAAATGAGCGGCAGCAAAAGGCAAAGAGTGACAGTGGGAGACGAAATGATACTTGCACAGGCCATGAAGCCGATTCCCAGGCCAACCAGCGAAGCGAGCAAGAACAGACAACGCCAGTTTGTCAGAGGCCAGCATCGATCAGATATTCTCCTTAGAAAAGCATAATGGTGACACTGTAACTAGCTATTGCCGAGGAATAAAGGCAAAAGTATGGCCATGGAAAAATCACAGAAGAAATTTTTCCAAAATGTGGACGAAAATTCCAGTGTTACTCAAAAAGTGTTTTTGAGAGCGGTGGAGCGTTGCAGTACTACTCAGATGACAGCGTCTTTTGTAATAGTTGCTTAATCAGTGGATGAATTTTGGTTTGGAATTAAGTGCAACAAAAACAAGCAATGCCGCATTTTGGGTGAAAACATATTAGTCTAAAGCACTACGTTGTTGTTGTTGTTTTTACTGACACTGTTGCTGCTGTTGCCAGCCGGGTGACGTCAATGGACTGATACAATTTGATATAAAGATAGAACGGTATACCACGCCGGCATATCAGTGTGTATCTAGTGAAGGAAGAATATGTAGTGTTTATTGTGTTGTGGAAAAGAATCTCGGTCATAATTTTAAGATATATAGTAAATATTAAGTACGTTTATGAAGGTGCCATTCATAGCATCGTAGTATGAAAAAGGTAACAAAAAGAAGCCAGTTGTAAGCCATAATTTAAGATGGTTTTAATAAATATATTTGCTATTCATCCCAATTCCCTACCCTCACCATTCCCACATCCATGCCATTCCTTAATTTTTAGTCGAGATCGTTTGTGGTCCCCATCAGGGATCATTTCCGGTCCGGGATCATTTGCGATCCGAGATCATTTGCGGTCGTGGGATCATTTGCGGACCCGTACAGAATTCTTAGCTGTAGGGAAATATAGACATGCAACACGTACACATTTTTTTTCTTGAGAGTGGGAACATTTCTGATAAATCAGTTGTATTGTATGTCATTTGGAATCTTTATCAAGAACTCGAATTTGTCTTTTTATTTGCTTGAAATGATACAACAACATATTTGTAGAATTATATGACCCATTATATAACCTATCTAACCACAACTCCCCCTCTGGTCCAGTGGCAGACTTGTAACTGGTAACTTACCAGAGAAGTGATAAGGTCATATTAGATGTATCTCTCATCCAATTAAAATTTATGTTTCAAATAAATCATGAAAAATTGAATTCTCAGTGCACAAGACAAACTCACCCCACATTCTCAAAGCTAAAACATATTAAAAGTTTGTAAACAGAACAAGGACCAATGTGAAATATGGTAAATTGGTAAAACATGTTACAAGTTTCCCATGCTTATTGGGAGTTACTATGTATATTATTTTAGTTCTAAGTTATTCAATGTAATGTTTACCTCTATTCTGGTTGGCTGTTGTAGTGAGGACTAGTGACTCTTGGTTTTTGGTTCATGACAATGTCTTAGAAAAATCACTCCCTTTCTTGTAACCAATGAAGTTTTTTGACACACGATAAATACTCAAGCTAACAATAAAAACAATGGCAACGTTTTGCATCAAAAATGATAAGTTGATATTTTTACAGCAACAGAGAGCAAACATGGATAAATTATAAGGGTTACTTGATTTACACTGAAGAAATGTAAAATGGTTTCCGTGTTTACATAGCCTGATGTAAACACGCGGTGGGTTGGGAGAACACGAGATAAGCGTAGGAAACCACGATGCAAAGCGGAGTGGTTTCCAGCTTATCGAACACTTCAACTGTCAATTTGTATTCTTCACATAGGGACATACTTATCATATCCATCCATGAGCTACTTCCCAACTTGGCAAGCAAAAATTTTGAACAAAAACTGCCAAAAAATTATTATTGAACCCCAAATAAGTGTTTTCCTGTTTGTCTCTTATTCTTGAGGTACTTTTAAGCAGTTTTGACATCTCTTAGGCATGAGTAAGAAATAGAAACTGAAGCTCTAAAATTGAAAAAGCTGATAAGAAGCACATTTTAGTCTAGGATATATTTGGTCCCCCAAACATTAATTTAATAATAATCGGACATTTTTAATAATTTCAACAACCAACTCAAAGGCTTTTATTTTCAAGTATTCAAAAGAATTAAACAGTAAATGCTAAATTGTGAAGAAATAGACAGAGAATTTAAAAAAAACAGTAATCCAGACTTTGTTTACAAGCTATGATCTGAACATTTAGAATGAAGAGTTCGTGATCCAAGCTAAAGTTAGAAACTAATACGCGTTACACTTAATTTCTTAAAACCACAAATTTTTTACACCTCATTCGCAATCTAAGTCCATTCTGTGTTCAAATCTGTCAATCCAATCTAAGAACCAAATGAATTGCTGATCGACTAACTTGTTCATCTCTGTCTAAATACTATGGAGCTGTAAGACTCATTCCATTCTGAGAGTGGTCAATGGATAGAATGAATGGACAGGCATCTCGGGCCCATTCTTCAGGACTCCTATACATTGCTGCACCTTGTTTTCCAAAGGTTGTCTCCAACATAGGTGTGTTGATGACTCCTGGGTTCAACGGAACACATGTCAGCGGTATAGGTAACTCAAGCGCCATTGCTTTAGAAAGCCCCTCAATGGCCCACTTGGAAGCACAATATGGAGCTTTATGCGCCGCCACACTTCTACCCCAGCCAGAACTAAAATTAACGACCACACCCTTTCCCGCTTTTATCATTTCGGGCACAAAATGGCGAATGACATTCGTGGTGCCCTTAATGTTGACATCGATGACACTGTTGAACTCTTCTCCAGAAATCTGCCACAAACACGCATTACTGTTGATTATAGATGCATTATTAAGGAGGAAAGTCGGCGCTCCAAAGCTAGAAATAACATCTTGTGACCAACGTTTCACGTCTGCCTCGTTGAGAATGTCAACAACAGAGAACTGTTTTGGTTTGCCTCCTTTACAAAATTCTTCGTTCAGCTGATTAATCTTTTGAGCTGACCGTGCACACCCTAACACCAAATGGCCTTTGGATATGTACCATTTCACCATGGCAAGGCCTAAGCCTGTGGATACCCCTG